GGCAGGCTCTAGTGTGGTATTGCTCCCCTTGTGGGAGAGTGGGATAGAGTCCTGTGGTGCTCCCCTGATGTGCTCTGAGACGTAGCAAGTCTTTGGCTCTATTCCCTTTCCCATGGGTGGGCATTAGCCATTATCAATGATTCATTACAAGTTTCCATTCCTTCCCAAAGAGGGTTGTTAATGGGAGCACGAACTCTGCACCCTGGCACAGCAGCAAGGGGGTGGACACGCAAAGCCATTTGCTCCCTTTTCTGGCCAGTCAGAAAGTGGCAGGCTTGACATTTCACTTTTATTGGCTGAGGATAAGGTTGCTAAGCAACTTCCTTACCTTTGTAAGAATTCCGTACTTCTCAGTAGCGGTGCTTCTCTTTCGTCTTTCTCAATAAGTCTCAATCTCTCTCTCTCTCTCTCTCTCTCTCTCTCTCTCTCTCTCACTCACCAACACACACATACACACTTCATTTGTTGTTTTTAGATTCCTGTTCTGGCAAACATCAGGAACACTGGTTTCTTATGTAAATGATTTCTACTGATGAGCTCTATATCTAGTTATATATAACAATGAATATGGATTATTCTATGCATTAATTAGTCAACGAATTATTTTTGAGCATCTGCCATGTTTCAGGCACACTGCTAGGTACCATGATGATCAGTAACAGCAAGAGCATGAAATCCAAACTATTGTGACACTGGTGGATCACCAGGATTTCAGAATGAAAGTCAGCATGGAGGACCTCTGTGTGCCAGGCTGAATTATGGGGAGATCTGAGAAGTCCTAGGTGAGGGTTTGAGGTGGCAAGGATGGTAGACGACATTCTGGACTCAGAGCAGTAGCTACACATAAATCATTCAGAAAATTCAATATAACAAGCCCCTGGTGTGTCTATAGCAGTGCTTGGCAATGGCTACCTTTAACTGAACACTTATTAGTTCCCTGCTTGGGCTAAATCTTTCCATACATAATCTTTGCTGTGGCATTCAAGCCAAATGCATTCCCTCCCCCATAACACTACAGATTAGGAAGTGATTCCAGCTGCTGCCACTGGGCCAGTGGTCTCAGATGCTCTTGGCAATGTGTGTTTGTCCCATAGCTGGAAAGTGGTGGAGCATGGAGTCCAACCTAGGGCTTTTTGGCTAAAAAGGAGTGCAAAGCCAGGGGGCCAGCAAGGTTGGTGGGATGCAGAGGCAGGGGTCCTCACACAAAGTGAATTGGGCTGAGTTTACTGCTGTAACAAAATACTGAAGATTGCCCAACTTATAAATAACATAAATTTATTGCTCACAGTTCTGGAAGCTGGGAAGTCCAAGATCAAGACATCAGCAGTTTCAGTGTCTGGTGAGGGCTTACTCTCTGCTTCCAAAATGGCAGTTCTTACTAAATCCTGAATCTTCACAGGATGGGACAAACACTGAGTCCTCCTCTGCAGAAGAACTGGAAGAGACAGGCAGCTCTCTGCAGCTTCTTTAACAAGGGTGTTGGAGCACTCATGGTCTACTCACCTCCCACAGGACCCACCTCATCATAATACTGTCCCTTTGGGGGTCTAAGTTCCAAAATGATTTTCGGAGGGACATACATAATGAAGACATAGCAGGTCTAAGAGAATCTGGGCTACAGATTTGGATTAGGCTTGCCTTGGGCTAAGGGCTAGCCAGAGTCTACCTGGATCCCTGTGCAGTAAATGCTACCCAGCTCCCAAAGGGAGCCTGTGCACTCTGTCTCCTGGCTGGTACTGAAGGGAAAAAAATCTCTCAACTTTTTTTGTCCTTATTCATAGCTTTAGCAAAATGCTTGGTGAGGAAGGAAAGGAAACGAGGCCTAACAAATTTCTGGAAAACTTGTGGTTTTCCAGGCTGTTGTTTCCATGCGGCTGTGAAGAAAAGGACTGAGGAAATGAGAGAGGCTGGTAAGAATGTCAGGGGCAGGTATTCTTTAGTGTCTGTTGATGAGAATGGATTAATTTTCTACTGAGAAACCCTTGTCATAAAAGTCATTGTTCTCCTTCTTTTCTAAAAGCAAAGCTATTTATTTCTGAGAACTCCTGGGTCATTGTAAGAGGCAAAGTGCCAGAAAGCATTTGTGAAAGATATATTTGTCTCCTACAATTTTTCTTTTTCTTTTGGTGGTACTAGGGACTGAATTTTGGACTCCGAGCTAGGCAAGGGCTCTCTCTGTCTCTTGAGCCACGCTCTCCAGTTCTTTTGCTTTTAGTGTTTTTTTAGATAGGATCTTGTACTTTTACACAGGCTAGTTCCAGACTGTGATCCTCTGGTTTCTACCTCCTGGGTAGCTGGGATTACAGGTGTGCCCTACCACATACGGCCCTTCTTGTGTCCACTTAAAGTAGAATAGGAAGAGTTTCGGGATTCTGTGGCTTGTGTGTCGAAAGTCAAGGCTGGAAGGCCTTAGTAGTGGGGGAAGGACACAGCTCCCACCACCCCTGGAATTCATGGCCCCTCATGTGTCAGGTCAAGGCTGGTTCCTAACTCCCCTGTCACACTGTCTCAGTTGTCACACTGACTCAGTTGTCATACTGTCTCAGTTGTCACACTGTCTCAGTAGCAGACTCGAGCTGTACATTGGCCTTCTGAAATGTCTCAAACTTCCAGAGTCTCAGAAGAGTATAAAATTATTTTTCCCAATCAGTACCTATCTCAGAAGATTTTTGGTTGTCCTAGCTTGTGTTCTTGGAAGCTGCGCTCTTCCCTCTCCTGGGGGTGAATTTTCAGCTTGGGATTGCTTCATAATGGAGTCATCTTGTACTCTGTGATGCTGATGGCTCCTCAAATCATCTTTGCTGTTCTTGACAACAGAGGCAAGAGAACCTGTGAGCGTTAGGTCAGTAATGTGAATCCAGGCAGTGTCACTCACTGTGCTGGGGATGGGGAAATGAAAAGAAACATTTGTGTTTCTTGTCCATTCAGTGGGAAAGGGAAATAAGTAAATATGGCAATATAGTACAATAGGCAAAGGCATAGGCTGCTATTAGAAAATGGAAAAGGGTGTCAGAGTAGACCAGGAATGCCAGAGAAGGCTTCCTGGACGTGGTGGCGCTTGAGTTTGACTTTGAAGGATGAATAAGCACTTCCCAGAAGAATGGAGGTGGGGTGAGTAATCCTGAAACTGGGAGCACCATAGGGTGGATGGAGCTGAAGTTCTCTCACCTATGAAAGACTGAATGGGTTCTCACGTGCTCATTGTCAGGATAACACAAGTCAATGTTTGGAAATTGCCTGGTGCTAGTGAAAATGTCTGACCTGTTCATTTTAACCCCTCCACTGCCCACCTGTGGCACTCAGAATGTGGTTCATCCTCAGTGTGCTATTTAGAACATCGGGTCTTGGGACTTACCAGTTTATGAGGCGATCGTTTATAGTAGGCTGAAACTCCATAGGTAGAAGTCCTGCGGGACATAGCTTCCTTGGATATGAGAATAATTTCTTTTACTTGGGAAGTAGACAATGAGAGGATCTTGGATCAAAGATAGCCCCCAAAAAGAATTAGGCCCTAAGAACAACAGATAAGCTGAGGGTGTGGTGGTACATGCCTGTAATCCTAGCTACATCAGAAGTTTAGGTAGGGGGTTCGAGGTCTGAGAGTCCCAGGCAAAAGAGAGAGCCATATCCCAAAACTGACTAAAGCAAAAAAGGGCTGGGAGCATAGCTGAAATGGAGGAGCACTTGCCTAGCAAGCATGAGGCCCTAAGCACCAATCCCAGTATGAGAGAGAGAGAGAGAGGAGAGAGAGAGAGAGAGAGAAAGAGAGAGAGAGAGAGAGAGAGAGAGAGAGACTTCTTTCCATAAGTAGACCTTAACTAACTAAAGTAGCAGGAGCTGTAAGAGCAACTCCAAGATGACATTTTTTCAGTGCATCTCTATGTTTAAGTTACATTTCTGACACCCCCTGCTCTCCCCCGGAACGTGAAAGAAGCAAGTTGCTCTTTGTATCCTCCCCATAATCGATACTTAGCACAGTGCCCTGCTCGTAGTGGGCACATGCCAGCATTGCTGACTGAACAGTGAGCCTCTGCTCAGCACCGTATCTGCCTGCATGGAGTGTGACTCACAGTGGGCAGTGGCTTCTCCAGCGGGCCATGCTCACTGGCCACTTCTCTCACTTTCTAGCCACATGGACAACACTCTGCCACCCTTGAGTTGAGTGCAGCTATTTTGCAGTTTCCTTTTATCTGTCCTGGCCAGTTGCCTAGACATCCAGTGCCGTGATCAGGGAGGGTTCCCTTTGTGTTTCCTAGACTCTGCTTTGATGATGTAGATCCTGAGGTTTATAACTCCTCTCTTTTGGAGAGAATGTTCCATGCTGGGCTCCCAAGATCATAGGAAGGAAAGCACCGTCCTTCTCTTTCGTCCTTGAGTTAGCTACTGACTACAGGGGAAGTGACACCTGGCCAACTGATCACCTGACTAATGCTGCTCTTGTGCTTGTTCTCCCAAAATCCCATCTATAAGCACTTGTGGCCGGTGTCCTGTCCCTGGAGGCAGAAGTATTCAGTACAGGCCCTAAAGCCACACTCAGCAATTCCAATTTGCATATGACTGAATGACCATCAGCCCTACCCTAATTCTCAGAGCAATTTGAGCTTGAGGTTGGGAATCTGCAGCAGCCAGATACGTGCTTCCTTCACCCTTCATGGGCTTTGACTCCCCTTTCCTGTGGGACTGGCCCCGGCCACTGTCACCCACACCTGGGCACTTACGGGCTCTGCTCTTGTTCACCTGCTGTGGATTCAATTCAGGCTAGAGAAGATTTCAAGCGGGGTCCCAGAGAACTAAAACACTGAGTATTCCTGTCCTGTGCTAGGCCCGCTCCCCTCCCTGTCCTGTGCTTGCCTTCATATGACCAGCATGGTGGAGTTGTGCATGCTGGGAATCACAGGTGTGCAGGTATGGCAAAACGGAGGGAAGGACACAGGAAATGAAAGTGGAGGTGTTTGTGCTCCTCCAACCTCCAGTCACCTGTGCTCTTTTTCTTCTTATAGGCACACCGGGCCACACTGGTTCCACGTCCATGAGCCCGTCAGCAGCCTTGTCCACAGGGAAGCCAATGGATGGCCACCCCAGCTACACGGACACCCCAGTGAGTGCCCCAAGGACCCTGAGTGCAGTGGGGACGCCCCTCAATGCCCTGGGCTCTCCATACAGAGTCATCACTTCTGCCATGGGCCCACCCTCAGGAGCGCTGGCAGCCCCACCGGGAATCAATTTGGTTGTCCCACCCAGCTCTCAGGTAAGTGTCCTTCTTGTGCAGGGCTGGTCAGCTATCTTCAGTGGTTTTCCCCCAGGCAGCAGACTTGACACTCTGCATCTACCTGTGTGACTGCAGGAGAGACTGGATAACTCTCAGATGAATCTCCTGCAGGGCCTCTCTGTGTGTCCTTTCAGGCTAAGGAGTCCTGGGGAACTGGTCTGAGAGACTGTGACCCAAAGGGAGATTCCCTGTGGGGTTTAATGGTGCAGCCCTGGCTATGATTCCAGTGTCTCTCAGGGGTGTTTTTGTCATCAGCAGGGTGGACGCCCTTTATTCTCCACAATTCAATGAGTATCAAAGCAATGAAATGCCACATGCTCTTGTTAAGGGAATCCAGAAATGATCAGGACATGGTATTTGCTCTCCAGGAACTTTCAACTGAGAGGGAAAATAGGCAGGATGGCACATAGATAAATCTAGAACAAGGCAGATTATATTACATGCTTATTATCTCTGAGACTAAGGTAAGTCAGGGGAAACTTTACTCTAATTTTGAATGCCTTCTGCCATGATGGAAAAGAAAAGGTGTGTGCGCAGAAGACATGGGTCACTGCTCCATGTGATAAAACATGGCCAGGGAACCTTTCTTTCCTTGAGTGAAGCCACTCTGAGATCATCCTCTTTCCCCGCTAGTAGTGGTTGGCGACTGCTGCAATACTGCTACAGAAAAAACAATTCTCAAATCATTGACACTTCCAGAAACACAGTTGTCTTTCCACTTGCAAGTCTGCATTGGGCAAGGATGGCCGTGCCTCGGATGGTGGGTGAGGTGGGCTTGGCAGCAGGCTAGATCAAGTCTGTTCCTCCTGTCCCAGGATAAACGAGCAGGAGCTATCAAGGCACACTTTCCCCACGGTCTCACATCAATGCAAAAGGCCAAACCCAATCTGGAAAGCACAGATTTTCTTCACGTCTGAAGAAAACCATTCTAACATTGACAGGGCAGGGAAACAGGCTGCATCTATTCTAGAGAGGTACTACAAAGACAAAGGATACAAAGCATTCGGAGGTGTGAAGAATTAGGAACAAGAATCCCACCTCCTCTACCCTACTCTCTCCAGGGTCTCCACTGCCCTTGCCATCAGCATACTTATAAATGGAATTGGTAGTCATTTTGATGGCCAATGTGTCTGGGCTATGGGGTGCCCAGATATTTGGCTGAGAATTATTTTGGGTATTTCTACGAGGGTGTTTTGGATGAGATTGACATTTAAATAGGTAGACTGAGCACAGCAGGGTGCCCACCTTAATGTGGGCGGTATCAACCAATCCACTAAAGGCCTGCAGAGAACAAAAATGCCGATCCTTTCCCAAGTAAGGAAGAACTCTCTGGCCTTATAGCCTACAACCTGGGAGGTCAATTTTTTCCTGCCTTTGGATTTAAACTGAAACATAGACTCTTCCTGGGTCTTTCAGACTACAGCATCAGCATTCCTAGGACTCTACCTTGCTAACTCACTCTGCAGATCCTGGTGCTTCTCAGCCTCCAAAACCATGTGAGACAATTCCTTATAATAATACCTGCCCCCAAATCTTGTGCAGGAGGTGCCACATGACACAGATAAGTCACAGATGTAGGAGCAGAACCAGGAGGACCTACAAACTGCTGATCTTGTGTCTCTTGGCCCCACTGGGAGTGTAAGACTGCTCAGAGGCGTGGGTACGGATAGCGGAGCAGTGTGCTTGTATTTATGCCACACCTACCCGGTGGAATTGGAAGAGCTAGAGATACCCCACCCTGCAGAACGTGTGAGGTTTGTTCCTTCCCTTTCTTTCCCATGAACAGATTCCGGAAGGGAGAGTCAAAGCCAGTAGTTGGAAACAGAAAAATACATTGCAGTTCTGGGGTGAAAATATGGTTTTGCAGCGATATTGCCATTCTTGTAAATAACTATTTGTGAAGACCTCCTATGCACAGGCGCTACTTGACATCAGCCTAAATTTCACAGATAAACAGTCTAGCAGTCAAAATGGACAAAACCCTAAGGAATAAACAAGATGGTTGCAAATAGCAGACATCATTATATCTATGGAGAAATTAACTGGGGTGAGAGAGAGCAGCAGGGCCCATGGGCAGGAAGTGAGCAGCTGCTGTCCCTCAGAGGCTGCTTTTAGCAGCCACACTGGAGTCTGATAGAGCCAAACCTGGCCAGTAAATCCATCTCCACAGCCGTGTGAGTGGCTGGGCCGCTATTCCTGGACTGACCGTATGTCTGTACAGAGGGATCGGGGTTGAAAGGTCAGCTGAACACTTTGGTCCTGGCCAACTGGGCTGTGTGCAGAGGCCGAGGCCAAGTTCGGCTTTGGTGAGCTATATTAAGCTTGCCAAGTGCTGGTGAAGCAGCCTCAGATGCTGGCTGAGCTGTGTGTTGGGCTTGGGCTCCGGAACCACAAGGCAGCAGAACTTTGCCCAATGAACCAGATGACACAGGACGAAAGGGCTTGGTGTCAGCCTCAGGGACTCAGATTCTGAGACTCTGGGCAGAGTGTCCCTATACATCCCGCCTTCCCTGCCCAGGACTAAGTCTGAGGGGGACTCGTGACAGGAGCATGCACCTTCTGTGACCTGGTGAGTATGATTTGGGGGTGTGGAGAGGAGGGAGTGACCCGTGAGGAGGCAGCAGGCAGGGTCTCCACTCTGTGCTCTGTCATTCCTCTCCTTGAGCCTCTCTTTCTGCCCTTGGTGGGTTTTTTGATCTTGAAAAGTGAGGAGAACTAAACTGGCACTGTGCGCCCAGGGACCGTGTGACCTTTTGCCAACCACTTTAGCTTGTTTCTGTTTGAGTTTCATTTTCTTTATTGGGTTACAGAAACTTTGCCCTAATTACCATAAAAGGATTTTTATGACTACCAAAGGAGGTGTGGATTTGAAAAGGCACTTCTTAAGGGGTACAAGGAAGTCAGGTGGTGATAGTGTTATTGTTCCTATGTGACATGTGCTATACGTCTAGCTGATGGTTGGTTCTGGTGTTGCCGAAAGGTTCTAGGGAAGTTCACTTCAACAAGTGTTCATTGAACCAGGCCCAGTACTAGGCACCGGAGACACAAAGAATATGTGACTCAGTTTCTGCCTTGGAGCATCTAAGTGGTCTGAGAAATTTCCAGATATCAAATATAGAATTGGGAAGATATTTTTGCTCCTTTATGGTAAAGTGATAAAAGCTACAACTTTCTGACTCTGTGTGTGTGTGTGTGTGTGTGTGTGTGTGTATTTGTATCTGTCAGGCCCTACAAGTCTTTAGCATCTCCCCTCCTGACCCCTGTTGTCTGACCCTTGACCCTCCTGACCTCTGCTGCCTTCCCCATCTCTGCTGATTTCTGCTTCGGTATTTATTTATTATTGACAGCTGAGTTGTCATTGTCTCAAATATGTTTGCATTTCAATAGTAAATGCTTTAATAAAAATTGCCAACAGTAGAGCTGGAATAGACCTTAAAGGTCATCTAATCTGATAGTTTTCTTTTTTTAAAATTCATTTATTCATATGTGCATACATTGTTTGAGCCATTTCTCCCCCCTAATCTGATCATTTAAAAAATTAAGTCAGAAAGTCTTTTCTTTCAATGACAGCATATGTGGAAGCCCAAGATATATGTCAAGTAAAAACACATTTGATTGAACTTGGCACAAGAGACACTTCACGTCTCAACCTTCAGCCTCAACCTTTCTAATACCAGGTCTTTCTCTGCCTCTCTGACTCTGCCTCTTTCTGTCTCTTTGTCTCTCTGTCTGTCTCTGTCTCTCTGAAAATCACTGATCTCGTTCAGAGACAAGGAAACAGAATCTGTGATAAGTGAAAGGACCTGAGCTAGATCACAGGAAGGGCAGGTCCTGACCAGAACCTAGGTGGAGATCCAGATACACTACTCCTAATGACAGCGATCCTAATTACATGGGTGGGGGAGTCCTGCACCCAGAAACAGGAGTGCCTCCCTGCAGCCTGGCACTTGGTAGGACAATTTGCGCTGAAGACAGCTCAGAAATGTGGGACCCAAGGTTCAGTGGTGACTCCAGACATCCAGGAAGCATTCAGCCCTTGGCTGAGTCTGCACAGGGAATGCACTTCCATCCTGTTCTCATGGAGCAGCTGGCCTGCAAGTCAGACCGCCTGCTAAATCCTGGCTCTAAAATGCCAATTTCACCAGATCTGCCTCTAATGGAAGGAGACAGCCAGGGTTGGGAGACTCTGGGATCAGGCTGCTAATAGTTTTGTGCTCCGATGGCTGTCTTCCATCTCTTCTGCCACTGCACACAAATCACAAGTCAGCCAGAGAAACAGACAGAGGAGGGAACATCAACCCACCTGTCCCAACCTTTGTCCCACCATCCAAACTCATGAAGAAAGGGTATGTTGGAGAAGGACTGCTGGCTCAGACTGGGGAGAGAGTACCGCAAAGCTAGTCTGTACTTCCAGGGTTCCAAGCCATAGAGGTAGGTAAGAAGCTGTGAGGGCAGGTGAGGACTGACAGCCCGAGAGCACAGTGACAAAGGAATGATGACCTGAGATCTAAGCACCTGGGAGTCTAGCTGTACCCATGTGAACCTGGCAAGGCACCTAACCTGGTGCTTGGGCAGGTGCAGAAGCCTTGGGTGTCTTCTCCAGTCTTTCCTGAGGCTACTGCCTCCTGTACTTCATTGAGGCAGAGTTTCAAGGGCATTATTCCTCAGTTTAAAACCCCTAGTGGCTTCTCATTGCCTCCCAAACTAAATCCACCCTCTTAGCCAGGCCACTGAGCCTCCAGGCTCTGCCACTTTCTACCTCTCAGCTTTATGCACCATCTACCCCCTAGGCACATTTGTTCCACAAACACCTGGACTTCCCTCTAGGTCTTTGCTCTCAAAACCTTTTGCCCACCATTGATCCATCCAAATCTACCCCCATCTTTTTTTTAATAACAGAATTTCCCTATTTAGCCCAGGCTGGTCTCAAATTTAAAATCTCCCTGCCTATACCAATATTAACTCAAAATGGATCAAGGATCTTAATATCAGACCACAAACTCTAAAGTTGATACAGGAAAGAGTAGGAAATACTCTGGAGTTAGTAGGTATAGGTAAGAACTTTCTCAATGGAACCCCAGCAGTGCAAAAAACTAAGAGATAGCATAGATAGATGGGACCTCATAAAGCTAAAAAGCTTCTGTTCATCAAAAGAAATGGTCTCTAAACTGAAGAGAATACCCACAGAGTGGGAGAAAATATTTGCCAGCTATACATCAGACAAAGGACTGATAACCAGAATATATAGGGAACTTAAAAAACTAAATTCTCCCCAAACTAATGAACCAATAAAGAAATGGGCACGTGAATTAAACAGAACTTTCTCAAAAGAAGAAATTCAAATGGCCAAAAAACACATGAATAAATGCTCACCATCTCTAGCAATAAAGGAAATGCAAATTAAAACCACACTAAGATTCCACCTCACCCCTGTTAGAATAGCCATCATCAGCAACACCACCACCAACAGGTGTTGGCGAGGATGCGGGGGAAAAAGGAACCCTCTTACACTGTTGGTGGGAATGTAGACTAGTACAACCACTCAGGAAAAAAATTTGGAGGCTACTTAAAAAGCTAAACATTGATCTACCATTTGATCCAGCAATACCACTCTTGGGGATATACCCAAAAGACTGTGACACAGGTTACTCCAGAGGCACCTGCACACCCATGTTTATTGTGGCACTATTCACAATAGCCAAGTTATGAAAACAGCCAAGATGCCCCACCACCAACGAATGGATTAAGAAAATGTGGTATCTATACACAATGGAATTTTATGCAGCCATGAAGAAGAACGAAATGTTATCATTCGCTGGTAAATGGATGGAATTGGAGAACATCATTCTGAGTGAGGTTAGCCTGGCCCAAAAGACCAAAAATCGTATGTTCTCCCTCATATGTGGACATTAGATCAAGGGCAAACATAACAAGGGGATTGGACTTTGATCACAAGATAAAATCGAGAGCACACAAGGGAGGGGTGAGGATAGGTAAGACACCTAAAAAATTAGCTAGCATTTGTTGCCCTTAACGCAGAGAAACTAAAGCAGATACCTTAAAAGCAACTGAGGCCAATAGGAAAAGGGGAACAGGTACTAGAGAAAAGGTTAGATCAAAAAGAATTAACCTAGAAGGTAACACCCACGCACAGGAAATCAATGTGAGTCAACTCCCTGTACAGCTATCCTTATCTCAACCAGCAAAAACCCTTGTTCCTTCCTATTATTGCTTATACTCTCTCTACAACAAAATTAGAAATAAGGGCAAAATAGTTTCTGCTGGGTATTGGGGGGGGAGAGGAGGGGGTGGAGTGGGTGGTAAGGGAGGGGGTGGGGACAGGAGGGAGAAATGACCCAAGCCTTGTATGCACGTATGAATAATACAAGAAAAAAAAAATAAAATAAAATCTCCCTGCTTCAGCCTTCTGAGGGCTGGGATTACATGTGTGCATCACCACTCCTGGCTTAAATCCTATTCATTTTTGAAGGCCGTTGGGTCCCAGCTCAAGTGCCACCTCTTTCAGGAAGTCTTCCTAATCTCACAGTGTGTAATCTGTCCTTCCTAAACTATTCCAGCTGACTTTAATCTCAGCGGTTATTCCTTGAGGCACTGCCTGAGTCTTCTTCCTCTCAGTGTCTCTGTAGTGTTTCTGAACAACTAGATAAACCATGTTAAGTCTTGATGTTGTCGTAGGAAGAGCAGGAAGAGTTCTTCAGGTTGTTGTAAGGATAAGAATTGGTTAGCACCTAGCAAACTTCCTGTAGATGGTAGCCATGCCATAATCACACTTCTGTGGTCCCTGCAAGCTGGAAGCAGCAGAGCCAGTCTTACTAGGGGTGGAGATGGGAGGCCAAGGACCAGCAAGTCCTCTTGAGGTGATGGTGGCCTCCTCCTTGTGCTCATGATCTTTCTTGGCTGTCTGAGCATTTGTCAGCTAGAAGGCTCTCTCATAGGCTCATCTGATCTCAAGGCTTCTGTTTTATGAGACAGACCAAGTGCTAATTTCTATTTTCTTGAGGCACCCAGAAGAAGTTGTAGCCTATAATTCATACTGACAGAATTCACACTACACCAGTGGTTCTTAACCAGGAACTAAAAGAAATGCCAGTGGCAAGATCCCTCCTCAGATCTTCCAAATCAGAATCCTGTGTCTAGGCACCGGTTTTTCTTGAAGCTTCCAGGTGTGTATGCCCCAGGGCTGAGAACCTCTGTACTACACTAAAACAGAACAAAATATTGGACACAGGTCCTAGGTTCCTTATCATAGCCTTGTATAAAAGGGGGGAGGGGAATTCTCCCACCACATGTGCTCTCATTCATTATACAAAGTAATTTTTAAAATTCCTGTGAGTTTGAGTCCAAAGCAAGGAATGGAAGGCTATGTCTTTTCTTTTTGTATCCCTTACAGCATTTAACTTTGGGCCTCAGTCCACCTTCTACGCTCAATAAATATTTGCTCAGTGAATTGAAAAGCTAGTGAATTTAGAAGGAATCTAACTCAAGTTCTATTGTAGTTTATGTTTTATTGATCATTTCTTCTGTCCACAAGTCCTTGAATAAAGAGGAAAATCCTGCCTCTGTTCAGTTTGAGAATTACAGTCGCTGCAGTTAGGCAGTACAATTCACAATTCAGATGGGCTGTAGGAAGTCCGTGGGCCCTCCCTTAGGTTTACCCATGTCTCTACCAGACTTACCCACATTACAGACTCTGCACTGCCCCCACCTGAACTTGCTTGTAAGAGTTCCTTTATAATTTTTGTTCTTTTGGCTGGGGCTTGAACTCAGGCCCTCACACTCGTTAGGCAGATTCTTTACTACTTGAGCCACACCCCCAGCCCAGTGTTCTTAGTTGTTGTGCATGTCGTTGTGGAATGAGAGACAGACTTTCTAGGTTTCACATCTCCCTTCACAGTGCTTAGGATGTTCTGTAGCCTCACAGGCGCTCAGAAATACTTCTGATTGGATGATTGTCTCATAGTTATTCAACTTGTTTTCTCTGGTGGGTATTGGCAGCAGCTTCTTGGTCCCCTCCCGAAGAGCACTGAGAGATGTGGGGTAGGCTGGGAGCAAATGTCAACTTGTGACAAGGAATGCAGCCCTGGATAAGGCAAGCTTCACTTCAGCTATCCAAGTCCACCAGTACCCCACTATGTGCAAGGCCCACGTCAAGCACTGGATTAACAAAGCAGACACAGTCTTTGAATCTACAGATTTTACACATTGATGAAACATAATCTGTTAGTTATGAACAAGTTCAAAAACGTTCTATAGCCTTCTGCTCAATTTTTGGTGCTACTGTGATGATTGGACGTTTGGGTAGCATCACTCACATCCTTCTTTTCCATTGTACCGTGAACTCCCAGGTGGGCATGTCTACTCCTCTTTGTACCTTGCCTGGCACAGTGAGCACTGGGGAACGTCTATTGATGGGTTAATGAATGGATTTGCATTTTTTGCTTGGCTCTCTCGGTGTCTGAGTCTCTTGCTTAAGGGCCATAGCTCCTCTTGGAGCACTGTTGAATTGGCAGTCAGTAGCTGATAAAAATTTTTAAATGCACAGCTGATATCGTCCTCGGTATGCAGTACAGCATGGATTTCTAGCCCAAGTAAACACAGGAATAAAAGCAGAGAGATATGTTGTGGTGGTGCAAGGTTTTGGTTTTAGCTTCTAGAAATGATTTCATTCTCTTGTGCACTTTTTCCCCTGCCTTAAATTCATGTCACAGGCAGCTTCAAGTACTCTGTACTTGGAAATGACTTTTTGATATGGAACTCATCTTTTCTCAAGTGTGCTCTCGGTGCTGTAGGCTTTGAGGATTGGCTTTACCTTGGCTGTACTTCATTGTGTGTTTTTTTTTTTTTCCCTTGCAGCTAAATGTGGTCAACAGCGTCAGCAGTTCGGAGGACATCAAACCCTTACCAGGGCTTCCTGGGCTGGGAAACATGAACTACTCATCCACCAGCCCCGGGTCTCTGGTTAAACACATCTGTGCCATCTGTGGGGACAGATCCTCAGGTATGGGTCCCAGAGAAAGGGTTTGCTCCACTGCCTACTAACTACATTATACCCAAAGAAAAGGCAAATGCCCTTTAGGCTGGTCCAGCTGGGGATCCAGCTGGTAAATCTCTGTCATTGGTTTCATGGTCTTGATTAATCTAAAGTGTGATCTTTATCTTTGAGGATTAGGCTTATTGGAAATGTTTCAGAAGCCCCTCTGTGCAGTGGCACTATAGTGTGTAGCTGGGATAGAGAAGTCTCTGTAATTACTAAATATCTCATACTAGATTTTCCTTAACTTTGTAAAAATTATTTTTTCTAATTATAAAATGTCCCAAATAAATAATTATAAAAACAATAAATATTTGGAAGAATCATGACGATACAAAGGAAAAGTCAAATTTTACCCATAATCTCCCCAAGAAAGATATTTAATATTTTAGCACATTTCCTTCTATAACATTCTAATTTTTAACATGCTTTTATGGGCACAAATGAATGTGGTTTCCCTGGTTTTTGTTCTTTGATACTCTTTTGGTTTAGTCAAAATTATTTCTTTCTTGACTTCTTTCCCTTCCTCTCCATCCTTCCTACCCCTTACTCTTCTCCTTCACTAGTTTTGAACATATTTGAGTCTCTTGTTTGATTATTTGGAGAATGAGAAAGTCAGGCGTGGTGGTACATACTTGTAATCCCAGCACTTAAGAGGTCAAAGCAGGAGGATCATGAGTTCAAAACCAGATTGGGCAACATAGCAAGACCCAGTCTCAAAGACAGAGAGAGAAAAAGGGAGGAGAAAGGGGAGAGAGAGGAAGAAAGACAGAGAGAGAGAGAGAGAGAGAGAGAGAGAGAGAGAGAGAGATCTTCTATAGCTGTCCATGATGAATGTCTGAGTAATTCCTCATCCTCTGATTATCAAAGCTACCCATTAAAAGTTGCAGGTGCCTGGGACTTACTCAGCCTCATGACTGATGTTTGCATGCTCTTGAAAAGTCATTTCCTGATCATGCATATCTGGCCATTGCCATAATTGAATGCTGGCCACAGCCTGACAAAGGATTTTCTCGGCTCTGGTTATTTTAGTTGAAGGTTTGGTAGGATCATTCATTCATAGCAAAGCCATAGAATGACTGCCATACAGTTGACAAATTGGTGTCATATTTCTCAAAGTCAAATATTTCAGAGCTGAGAGCATTAGATTCTTTGTGCCCAAGATAATATCCCATATTTATGAATTTAGAAAATTAGCACTTCAGCTAATTAGGCACAGACTGGCTTTCATCAGGAAGCTGACTCTAGCCACCATGTCACCTTAGGGCAGCTTTCTCTAAAATGTAAGCTCTGGAGTGCAAATATTCACATTTGCTAGTTCTCGGGGACTTCAAATGCATTTTAATATCAACCTAAATAAAACAGGAAAGTCATGTCAGGTCTGTGATTGAATGGCGTCCCATTTTCTTTTCAAGAATCAGACCTAAATACGTTTTGAATGATCTGCCTTATATTTTTCAAGTTCCATTTGATTATCTGAGCATAGCTGTCTGGTGTACAGTATTGAGAGCACTTCTACTTGAAAGAATTAATGTGGTTGATTCCTGACACCTGTGTGGGGACAGACACAGTGGCTTTCCTGACCCAAATTAGCTATTCCTACCTGGGGGGTAGTTGCAGGTCATAAAGACAATGAAACATGCAACTGATAATTCTAGATAAAGAAAAATATCTTCTATGTGATATCTTAAGGTTGAATATATTATGTTTTAAGATCATATAACAATTTATTTCATCAATAGGCAATAGCACTTAAATTTGTTTAAACACAGGATTCTGGTCATAGTTTATGGTAAAGGATGATAATTTTAAGTGAATTTTCTAAGACATTGGGTTTCAATTTTGGAGAAATATTAAGCAGAGGTTCTTTTCCCATTAGGTAATATATGACAAGTGAACATCTTTTTATTTATGTACACTAAGATCTCAAATTGGGGTAGGACATTTGGTTAACCAAATCTAAGAGTTGTCTTGATAAAATAAATGTAAGTCAAGTCTTAGGTCAGGAATTTTGTGATCATGCTGTCCAGAGCTGGAGATACCCAGGGAAGACACAGGAGAGGTGTATTTACTCTGTCTTAGTTTGGTTCTTGTGATCCAGCCTGCATTCTCTGCTAATTATTATTTGCAATCTGTACCAGTGCCTAGGGGATGTTCCCAGTTGTTCCCTAGGGAAGAGTCTCAAGGGGTTCTTTTGAATGACAGGTTCAAGTAAACATAAGAACAACCTATGGAGTGTCTTTTCCTTTAACCAGGAAAGCACTACGGGGTGTACAGCTGTGAAGGCTGCAAAGGGTTCTTCAAGAGGACCATAAGGAAAGACCTCATCTACACATGTCGGGATAATAAAGACTGTCTCATCGACAAGCGTCAGCGCAACCGCTGCCAGTACTGTCGCTATCAGAAGTGCCTTGTCATGGGCATGAAGAGGGAAGGTGAGGCTCCCTTTATTCCCCTCCACTCAAGGGACAGCACTTTACATCTAAGTAGCAACAGAGTCAGGCCCATAGGAAAGAGCCCTGCTGATTGTGTGGGAGGAGCAGGTCTGAGGTGAGGTTAGGGTGACTTGGGTACTATGATTTCTCAAGGAAAGATATATTTCTAGAACACAGGGGTATCTCCCTCCTCCACATTCACTTACGGTCTCCTGGAGTCCAGTGGTCCCCACTCTGGCTCCTCTCCCTTTTTCTTCCAATAGCTAGGCATCAAATCTCAGAAGCTAAGGTTTTAGTGTCCTGTGCTGTGCTCTACCAAGGTAATGTCAGACTGGTCTTCTCACCTCTAATTCCCAGTCTCCCTCTATGGAAAACTGCCTCTTTGATTCTCTGGCTGGGCTTTATCACCTTGGTCTGCCATAAATCCTTTGCTGTTGTTTTGCTTCATGGTCTTTGGGGGTTATTGGCAATTCCAGGCCCAGCCTTCTCATTCCCAGACACCATCCTTGTGCATTTAAAGGCTTACATCTTTAAATTTATAGTGATGGTTAGTGGGCTGATGTAGTGTCCGAGAAAAACAAATCTGAAAGTGGTTGTTGTTTCTTTAAAAGGATCGAAAAGTCATTCCCTTAAGTAACACGAATAAATTGAAGCAGGCAGTTATTTAACTAGAAGACTTGAACAGGTACCTGGTGTAAATAGTGAATCTCAATGGATTGTAGAGGAAGGAAGTCCTGCCCCTGAAAAGAGGACGGAGGGGTTGAGTCAGCCCTGGGGCTCCTCACTTGAGGAAATTCTTTCTGGGAGGAGGGGGATTACAGGGGAAGGAACCAATGAAGGAAAAGGTCATTGAGCCCCTCCTAAGAGGGAATGCCACCACCAAAGGAACATGGTAAGAGAGGGGTGGCCCAAACAAACAAAATAAAAGCAAGAAGGATGTAGAAGGATAGCCAAATGGAAGAGTTGACAGATGTGGAAAATGCCCAGAGAGGCAAAGTGTTCTCCCAGGTCCCACAGGTAGGTGATGGATGATGAGACCCGAGGTCTCCCACTCCTGGTCTGTGCTTATCCTGACTCTCTTTCCTGCCACGATGTGAAGGAGTTGAGGACAGCCCTACCTCTGACATCTCACAGGAATCTCCACCGCAGCAGATCCAAATCTGAGCCTCCAACATGTTCATCGAAGTCTTTTCCATCTTGGGAAAGAGCTGCTCCATTTTTCAGTTGCTTCAACCAAAACCCCATGACTTCCCTCCCTCCTTCTTTTGCCTACCACATGCGGTGGGCGAGGCTATCCTGTCTCTCCCTCAGCTGATGCCTGGAGTCTTTCCCTGTCTCACTGCTTTCACTACCACCACTGTAATCTAAGCCACCTGCATCTTTTGTAGTAATCGAAACAGAGTGCTAAGTGGGCTCCCTGCTTCCACCTTTGTCTTTCTGTGATGTCTTTTTAGCAGAGCAGTCAGGGAGAGACTTTGAACAAGTAGGTCAGGTCAAGCCAGTCCTCTACAGGAGTCCTCCAATGTGTTTCCATCACACTATAAGGAAAAAAAAAAAAAAAGGCAAAATCCTTGTTAAAACTTCAAGGCTGTGTGTGGTCTGGATGCCCCTTCATTTCTCTGCTTCAGCCTTTTTGGTCTCTTTGCTCATCCTTGAATTTGTCAGGAATGCTCCCCTCAGGCCCTTTGCACCTGCTATTCTGGCTGCCCACAACTCTTTCTTGTTAGATATCTTCATGGCCTATCTTGAAACCAGAGTTTTAGGGTGAAAGGTTAAAAGGTGATTCTTTTAAAAATATCTATTTTTTTAAAAAAGGCTGAAAGGTGATCCAGGAGTTCCAATACATCAGTTAAAGAGATGAGCAATGGCAGAGAAAGATTTAATCGAACGTGGCAACATCAAGACAGACAAAAGGATTTGGTGATCTCAAGATTGTCTTCGGAGTACTGACATAAACTTTTGGTTTAAGCAGAGGAGGAGTTGGGGGCAGGGGCAAGAGGTATGCATAGTGAGGTGGTCCTGGTTAAAGATGTGATCTGGTTGATCATTATTCCAGGATGCTCCCATGACATCCAGTCATAAAAAACAAAAAGCATTGTTGTCTGAAGGGCAGTTTCGGCTTTTGTCACAGATGTTTATCCATTGATCCAGTCCTTCCTAGAGTCCCAAGATGGCTTGGGGGGTGGAGGGCGGAGACTTAGAAAAAAGTGTTAAATCGAGAGAGAGGGACAAAATGTAATTAATTAGGCCAGTGCCAGTGCCTCCTTCCAGCTTTGTCTCCTTTTACCTTCTCGTAAAGCCTTGCCTGCCCCTGCTGTCTACAATGGGCATCAATCACCCCGACACTCCTGGGTCTGTCCCACGGCATTTACCTCTAGCACATGTTTCATCTGTCTCCATGAATGCAGGACCTCTGTCTGCTTTGTTTTCCTCACTGCTGTTTCAGCAGTGACTAGTGCTTTGTAGCCATGCAGTAAAATGTTGAATGAATGGTTTAAATCAAAAGCTGAAATCAGAAGTTTTAGAAATGTAGGAGTTCTAGCCCAGTGTGGTGGTGCATGCTTATAATCCCAGTACTTGGGAGATAGAGGCAGTAGGATTACAAGTTCAAGGCCACTCTGAGCTACATAGCAAACTCTGACTCCAAAAAGGGGGAGAGGGGATGTAGGAGTGAGTCCTAAAAATGACTCCTTCATTCACTGAAGGTTAATTGAATGCCTACTTTGTGCTTATGTCATACTCACCATAGCAAGGGGGTGGATGATCTTACAGACTGGAATATCTGCTATGAACTGTCTGCTGGTGGACACTGCTTTTGCCATCAGGATAGAATTGATACTCCTTGTAGTTTCCCTCACCATGATTGGCAAATCAGGAAATGATCACAAGTATGTCCTCCCTCAGCAAGAGTATAATGGGATTATTTTTTTCCTCACAGAACAGATAAGTTTCAGAATGACTTATAAAAAAAATAACATCTTTAATTAAGCACAAGATACTGAATGAAATAAAGATGAACGGCCTCATTTGAAGAAAGTGTCATTTCTACTTCTTCGAGTAGCCTAATCCAGTTCTCAAAACTCCAGCTGAATCACCCACTCAATTAGGGTCAGAGTGACAGTAGGTTGAATGGTAGGAAGTGTGCTTCTTTTATCTAAAAAAAGTAATGAAAGCAGAGAGATATGAAATATAAGAGACTGGGCATCTAAACTTCACATTGTTTTGATACTTCCACAGGAAATTGGACCCAGTTTTTGCTCCTACATGTTTGAAAAGACTATGGAGAAGCAGTAGCTAGGAAAAGCTGAGTGGTGAAAATAGGAGGGGAAGGAGTTCTCAGAGGAGTTTCTACAAGAGTCATGTCCAAAAACAAGCCAAGGAGCACATCAGTCTGCATTTCACTCAACAAGGGGCTACATTCAAAGGTCACTGGACAGATTTTCTCTCACCACCCCCATTTCTGACCTCGATTTACATAACTGAGGACTCAGTTTGGACACTTTCGTGAGGACAAAAATAATAAAATTCCAGAAAACATAACTGATAGAGAATGGAATTTAGAAAGAGGTGGAATTGAGCAGCCTGATATCAGAGCCCTTTTAGGATCCACAAGGTTTAAGCTGGAATGGACAGCTGCTCTTCTCGAATGTCACACGTCCATTTCCTGAAACAAGAAACAGAGATTCAGAAAGACTAGGGATCTGCCCAAGTGTGCACAGCAGACAAACTGCAGAACTGGTACAGGATGGGCGATTCTGACTTCCAAGCCAACTCGGGAGTTCTGGAGAAGCTATGGCCGTGACTTCTGGTCATACACGTGCAGCTCCAAGTCTAGAGAATGGATTATCTTTGAGGCTGTTTGTAGGCAGCATTAGCATCTTTCTGAGCCCTGGTGGTCTTTATTAAATCAACTAACCCAGCACCCTGGAGGCAGTACAGAAGGTTTAGAGATGGACTAGGGAAGCACCCAGCCTGGGTCTACATGCTGTCTCCATCACTTCCCAGCTCTTGGCCTCACATAGGTTAGCAGCTTCTCTGTGGTTTGTAGTAACCCAGAAGGTTATTGTAAGGATCAAATTAAATACATTATCTCTATAAAGTATCGAGGATAACTTCTAACACAGAAAGAGCATGAATAGCTTTTTTTTTCACTTCCTTGATTTCCTACTTTTCCCCTTTCTTCCTTTTCTCTGTCCTTTCTACCCTCCATCCATTTCTCCCAGTACAGAATACCATTGTTTGGGGGCTCTTGGGGGTGGTAGTTGTGTTTTCAGTCCTACTCTTCTCTGCGTGACCTTGAGAGATGAATATCACTCCCATGACAAACTCGAAGTCCAGCATCCCAGCTGCTGTCTGTTCTGCTGCCTCTGTGGCTCTTTTCCCCCTCAGAGAGTGGGAGGTGCTCCTGTAAGTGGACAGTGGATAGGAAAGGAGAGAAGCAGACAGCAGAGTTGTTAGTGAAGCAGCTGTCACTAAGTTTCAGGTTAGTCATCTGCTTACAGTAGAATTAGCTTGACTCTTGGGATGTAAAAACTGTGTTCTAATGTTGAATTCTACTTATTGCTGCTGGGAATAAGTTGGAAACCACAGCCTTCTAGATGATAGAAATGAACCTAACAAAAACCTTTTCCCGCTGAAGAATTCAGCATTGGGGAGCAGGGTCGGCCTTGCATTCTATTGCACAGACTCAAGGGTTTTTTGAGAGCTGGAGTGAACCTCGAGGAAAACCTCAAATTTGGGGGAGGCTGATGTCATTCCAGCCTACATCTTTACCTATGTGCCCTCCCTTAAAATCAGCTGCTGATTCTGAACTGTCATCCAGGTGACATCCCTCCACCCCTTCACTTACTAAATCCTCACAGTCGGCTCCCTGAAGATTTTCCCTGACAAGTCAGATCAGGTGATGTTGTGTTGGAGCTGGGGCACAAGGGGCAGACCTAATGGGATGTGAACGCCAAGAATGATGCATCAGATCTGACAGAGGGAGCTTTTACAGCAGCGTGCCCGTCCTTAACTATTGCATGCTCACAGCTTATCAAGAGGCAGCAGGTAGAGGAAGAATGCAGGGATAGCAGGAGGTGGTAGCTCCTTCAAAGAGAGGGTAGAATCAGTTTAATAAAGCTTAAAAGTGCAAACCTAGCATGGTTCCCATGATGCAATAGAAAAAAAAAAAACATGGACTAAAAAGCACCTAGTTCTGTGTATAACAAAGGCAAAAGCAAGTAACTTTGCTTTCTTTGTTTCATCTGTCACCATTACAGTAGCCCTGGTTCAGTACCAATGATCATCCTTGTTTGACTCATGGGGAAACTGAAGCTTAGGTAGATCACTAACTTTCCCACACTTGTCTGGCATTATGGTAACCTCTACATATCCTGCTGCATGTCAGCTGTGCAAGAGGAAAGGCAGAGGAGCCGGGAGAGAGCCGAGAGCGAAGCAGAATGTGCCAGTAGTAGCCATGAAGACATGCCCGTGGAGAGGATTCTGGAAGCTGAACTTGCTGTGGAACCAAAAACAGAATCTTATGGGGACATGAACATGGAGAACTCGGTATGTGGTCTTAGATCTCCATCCGCCTTCCTTTTCTTGGGTGGGACTGGAGATGAGGAAGAGACCCATTTGAGTCTCAGGTTGAGTCCCACACAGCACTTTGTTTCTCTTGTAGACAAACGACCCTGTTACCAACATATGCCATGCTGCTGATAAGCAACTTTTCACCCTTGTGGAATGGGCCAAGCGCATTCCCCACTTCTCCGACCTCACCTTGGAGGACCAGGTCATTTTGCTGCGGGCAGGTAAAAACATATCAGAGTTCCTTCCTTCTTGGAACAATTCTCTGGGCTGCCATCTTGAAATTATCCTTGAGATCCTAAAATAAATAATCTGATGGAGTAACAACCCATCCAAACCATATAGCATGTTGGCAATGAGATCACCCTCTCCAGCATGTTCTTTTTAAATATTATTTGTAGACTCTTAAATTTGGATGATCCTCCCAAAAAACTTTCATTCTCCAATGAAACACTGGTAATGGAAGAGTGGGACTATGTTCCCATGCAAATATTGATTGCCATGGTTTTATTATTTGCATTCAATTTTCTAACACTCTTAAATCATTTTTATTGAGGATCATTTGAAGCAGTGCCTAATTATTGTAAGGAAATTGGCAAATGGAGATTTTCCCACTTCACAGGTAAGATATGAAAGCCAGGCTTATACTAGATGGATTTCAAGGTCTCTTCTACTTTAAGATTTTCTGTGCTACATTTTCTCTTACCTCCCATTTCTGGGACTTTGGGTAGTCTGTTGACATCTCCTATATGGCCTCTTTTCATAGAAGCATCAGGGAAATTTCACTAAGACTGGCTGGGCATTGGGAACCAGTCCACTCATTCATGCCTATTAGATAATGAGTCAACTGAGTGTTGACTGAAAGCTACATACTGTGCTAGGTGTTACCAGATAATGCCAAAGAAATAAAACTAGGTTGTCAAGGTCCTAGGAACAGAGACTTCAAGGTACACTCACTTTATTCACCATGGCTGCTAACATAGTGACTATTAGATGGTAAAGGTTCAATCCATATTTGTCGACTGATTGAAAAAAAAAAGAGTCCTTTTCCTCAAGCTGTCATTCTGGGCTGCATTGGACAGATGGTGGGGGGATGTGCAGAGACATAGTAAGGAGACCTCTGTCTTATCCTTTGCTTCTTCACTAATTAGCAGTATTACCTTGAGCTAGGTCTTAAGCTCCCTAGATTTCCAGTTCTGCTTTTATTCTGTGTATAATAGTATATACATTGGATGATTATCAATGTAGCATGAATGAGGTGGGTTTTCTCTCAAGCTTCCTCCTTATACTCGCAGGGTGGAATGAATTGCTGATCGCCTCCTTCTCCCATCGCTCAGTTTCCGTGCAGGATGGAATTCTGCTGGCCACAGGTCTCCATGTCCACCGGAGCAGTGCTCATAGTGCTGGTGTTGGCTCCATTTTTGACAGGTGTCTCCCTTTTGATTTCAGTATTTATGTGTGTGTATGCATATATACATGTGAATATACATGTGATCATATGTGTACCTGTACCTGTAAGTAGTACTGGGCTGTAGGATAGGCAGCCAATACAGGTGCACATGACTATGTAGAGACCATTAAGCACATGTAAACATTAAGCCTGAAGAATGAGAGAAGAACTAAAAGAAAGATTGAGATTACAATAAAATGGAGCCAGTCAGAAGCCGGCATCATTGGTGGGAAGATGGAAGAACTTATTATCCCTATGTGTTTCCAAAGGCGAGGCTGAATTATTAACATCAGTTACTAAACTGGAGGTGGGGAAGGTGAATTGCTTACCTAAGGTACCAGGGATGGGAAAAGGGCCCAGGATGTGTCTTTAGGAGGTTAGGCAAGAGGGCTGAGTTCTATACTGGATTCTGTAGAAATCCTAGGGGGGGTTAGAGCAAGAGTAAACCCATGTTGGTCAGAGTGTATTACCCTGACAGAGATTCGGTGTGTTAAATGGTGCTGAAGGAAAATGAGTAGATTAGTGATTTGGGAGTGAGAGGATGGAGAGCTGGTAAAGAGGAAGATAAAGTTGAAAATAGTCTTGTCCAATGCCAAGGCTCCAGGGCCCTTTCCACTCTCTCATAAATGGCCTTTTTAGGTAATGACTATGTCCACCTAAAATGTGCCTACTTCTTCCCTTCCCTTTCCCACAACATATTCAACATGGCCATCGATATGACCCATCCTCCTTCATGATGCATGGAGATTTCTGCCATTTCTTGAATGCTGCCCTCTAGGGATTCTTCTAGACCCGCACTGCCCTAGCCTTGCTGTGCCCATTGCATTTCTCATTTCCAAGTCTTCCTCGATGCCCTTTTGTCCCCTGCTTGTAGTTTATTACTTCTTCTTTGGTGTGCCCTTGAACTTTTCCCATGGCAGCTATTTCATTGGGTTTTGCATTGCTGCTTGTTATTTCTATGCCTGTTTCTTCAAGTAAACTGTAAACTTCTTAAGATGAGGAACTACATCTTATTCATGTCTGTATCCCTCACCTGAAGCATCATCTGGAAAAAGGGGTGGGTCCATAACAAATATTGATAGAATTCATTTTGTTGGGTCATGACTTAGTACTCAAGGTTTTCTCATTATCTGCCCTTATTTCCTGTTAACAGAGTTCTAACTGAGCTGGTTTCCAAAATGAAAGACATGCAGATGGATAAATCAGAGCTGGGGTGCCTGCGAGCCATCGTACTGTTTAACCCAGGTGATTTCTGTTTCAGACTGCATGGGATTTAGCACTTCTCCAAGGTTATCCTGCAAGATTCTGACTTTTGTTGGCCCTTTAGCTCAGCTGAGACAGAGAAGGCAGGTCCAAGAACATATGCAAACACAGTCAACCCTTTATGGCTTCTAGCCAGAGCTGTCCTAAAAAGAGTCTTGACTGAGCATTGAGTGTACATGTCTGGGGGAAGCTGGGGAAGATGAGAAATGATAGTTACCCACTGTAGTAGTGAAGAAGGTGATAAAAGTGGTTAGATGTTGGGCATATTTTTAGGTAAAAGTACTAGGAGCTGTGGATTGGATGTAGGGTGTGAAAGAAAGATAGAAGTTAAATATAACTCAGGGTTGTCTGGTTTTGCTGAACAATTGGAAAAATGGAGTTTTCATTTACTGAGATGGAGAAAACTCCAGGGGAAGCAAGTTCTGACAGTGGATGGGTGAGTCAAGATTTTGTCTTTGGACAAAACTCAGAAATGGACTGTAGATATCCAAGGGTATGAATTTCAAGGAGGAAGAAGTGGTCACCTTCAACAAATGTTGCTGTGGGTCCAGAAAGATGAGCCTTCAGAATTAAGTAATTTATGTGCATGACTTATCTCCTGAACTAGGTGGTTAGATCCATGATGCAGGGCATGGGTGGATTTAGTTTTTGTAGCCCTCTCATCACTCAGTTTGTGTTCAGCACTCAGGAGGCACTGGGTAAATGTGTGGAGATGAGATTTCTAGAATGGACTGCATAAAATGAAACTTTCCTCCTTGGAGTCAGTGGACGGTACTTTGACTATTAACAATGGCAAACCTTTTTCCCAAGAGTTGATTGGGAAATTAAGCACATAAGGAACATTCCCACAGACACAAATGACCAGCTTTGCTTGTTTCACAATTGTCTCCATTCAGTTCTCTCCTTACTCAAAGGGACTTAGCTAGTGTGATGGAGACATTCTCTGGGGGTAGTTGTCCCATTGAGGTGTTAACCAGAGACTAAATCCACTGTCTTTTCCAGATGCCAAGGGTCTGTCCAACCCCTCAGAGGTGGAGACTCTGCGGGAGAAGGTTTATGCCACACTTGAGGCCTACACCAAGCAGAAGTATCCCGAACAACCCGGCAGGTGAGAGAGCACTGAGAGCCTGGCAACTACTCCTATTGCCCATTATTGAGCACTGGTATGCAGCAGGCACTATCTGGATATTTCCAAATGTTGCTTAAATTTCATAACAAGTGGAAAATATTAGCATCATGAAGCCAGAGGTGTCTATCTCACTCATTGTACAATACTCACCCATAAGTGCTTAAAGCAGTGACTGACAAATAGTACAGTAATCCTTCTTACCTGCGGACTCACTTTTGTCTGTTTCAGTTACCAGTGGTCAACTTTGCTCTGAAAACATTAAGTAGAAAATTCTGGAATGTTTTAAGTAACTTTTATTGCAATAATCATTACAATTATTTTATTTTCTTATCGTTGTTAATCTCTGTGCCTAATTTATAAATTACATTTTAGCGTAAGTTTAATACCTATATGCATACATAACTATGCAAAATATAATCAGGGTTTGGTTTCAGGCATGCACAGGGGTCGTGGAATGCATTGCCACAGGTAAGGGGGGCTACAGAATGTGAACACAGGGCAAAGTGGCCAGATGATGGATTGATGTAGGAGCCTGATTTCCTTTTGAACAATCCACAGAGGCTCAGAAAGGTGACATTATTTGCTTAAGACCATAAAGCTGTCCACTGTGGAGGTGAGATGTGAATGTAGGTCTGATTTCCAAGATCCATGTGAAGTGACTTCGTGGTCTGCCCGGTAGGATCCCCCATGCAGTAGAAAGGACAGACTTTGGGAGACAAGGGATGTGGATGCTGTCCCCCACGGGTCCATCTGAATGACCCCTCTAGCAGTATAGCTACTCCCAAGTCATTAAAAAAAACTCTTCTCAAAAGTTTCCTCCAAAGTACACTAAAAAGAAGTTTTCCCTCTCTGTGAACTCTAGCTAAAATGAGCCATTGTGATCCTCAAGTCTCATAGAAAGCCGGAAGGGAAACTGAAAAGACTGCTTAAGACACATTAGTTTTGTCTTTAGGATTAATTTACAGGCTCCATCCCCCACCAACCCCTGCACTAGTGACTTTTATTTCTCTGTGAAGTCTAAGCTTCATTCAGTGTCTATCCTGATCATAAACCAACATCTAGCAAATGTCCAAAAGAGCTAGTCTGTGTGTTTTGTTGGAGACGGTAAGGAAATCCGAGTGTGCGCAATGAATCCTTCCATGCAATGAATAAGCAAATTAAGCTATAATAACAGACCCATCAATAGTCAGTAACTTAACACAATGGACGTTTTCTTTCTCACTCACTAGTCAGGGAGGACAGTCAATTCAGGGAGGCAACTCTCTTCTATGCCATCATTCAGGGATCCAGGCTCCTTCCTTCTTGTGGCTCTATCATGACTCAGAATCACATTGTGGTTTGCAACTGGGTAATGGATGGGAGGAAAGGTGGACGAAAGGGCAGAGCTGGGAGGCTGTGTAGACAGATCCTGAGAGGCCCTTCACCCTCTCACTCACTTCCACTGGCTAACGCTTAGTCACATGACCCAGCTAGCTGCAGAGGAGGCTGGAATTGTATTCACTGTGTGTCAAAGAAAAAGAAGTCAATGGATTTCAGTGAATCTCTCTTTCACCTGCCATTGAAGAGATTGAAAGAGCCTTGCCCACAGAGTCAGGACCTGGCTGCCAGCATTGGCTTGGCCTCTGCCAGGTACAAGCCCTGGGCAAGCCACATTAACTGAAGGCCCTGGGTTGGGTGCTTTCTATGGACTCTTCCAACTCTAAAACAACATTAGATTGTTTTCAATGAACACACTGTGGGCAGGGCACACTTGTCCTTTTTCTAGAATTGGCTCTTGGTCCTGCTATTAATCTTTAAAAAACAAGAACAAAAGAAACTGCGGAGTTTGGGGGTGTGGCTCAGTGTCAGCACTTGCCTAGCAAATTTGATCCCCAGCACCAAAAACAGACCAAACTGAAAAAAAAAAACAAACCCCAAACCAAAAGACACCAGACTCCTTTTTTTCATAATTATAAGAACAAAGCTTGCTTTGGTAGGAAATGAGAAAAATGTTTTTTTAACTAAATCAGGTAAAATTTGGTTATAAAATTTTGGTATATTATGCTCCAGTGTCCTTGTGTATATATGCATATAAACATAGAGATATATATTTACATATATTAAATTATATAATTTAATGTATAATTTTCCTCTTTTAGCCATCCTAGGAATCTTATTGGATTTATGAAAATACAAAATTATCATTTTCAATAGCTTTATAATATTTCACAATGTGAGTATATTTTTATGTGGTTGGCATCTTTATTGTTTCTAAATATCACTTCAAAAACTTTGGAATTTGACTCTTTTTCTGGAAGAGTGCTGGCAGGGGCCTGGGCTACCTCCAGACTCTGGGGAGAGATGCCAGCTCTTATTGCTGGAAGCTCAGGGAAGTGGCAGAGGCTGTGTCTCCTACCTGCCTTCTGGGTTTGTCCAGCACTGCTTGGACAGAGGGTGATCACTCTGACCAAGAGTTTATGGGAGACTCAGCAGATATATCAGGGGATCACTTGGCTCATCCAGGCAGGTAAGTGTGTGGAAGGCTGGTCACCTGTCGCTTGCAGAAACTGAGTAAAGGGGATCCTGGCACTGCCAGGGCAAGCACTTTCTCAGTGGTGGAGTGCTGCCACTCTGTGGCTACTGTGTAGGAGTGCATCTCTTAGCGCCCAAGTTCTTTCAGAGAGTCATGAAGCAGAAATCAAACTTAGCAGGTGCAGAACTCACACACATTCTCTTACACACACCACAAGCACCTTCAAAAGCACCAAGTCCCTTTTCTGCCAACATTTGAGTGAGGAACAAGGTGCAGCACCATGACTATGCCTATTAATGGATGCATGCTTTTCCTTTAGTACTGATCTTAGTTCCTAAATCCAGGACACATGGCAAAGAGCATAGTATTATGGCATACTTAGCATTTTACCTGTTGGAACACTTTGACACTTTTGTAGTAAAAGACCATTTCAGAGTTAATCTCAGTCTAACTTTGAACTTATAGAGAAGCCTTGTGGAATTCCCTAAACTCTATCAGCGAGCAAGGTCAGAAACTCAGCCTCCTTCTTGTCTAGCTGACCCTTCTTGCGGGTGATATGGTTCAGATGCCTTTGGTGCTCTGTCATCCAGAGCTTTGAAGTTTTGTGTTGGCATTGACGTAGACCTTTACATTTTCCATGTAGAAAAAAAAGTACTTTTTCTACTTTTTTTAGATGACACCACTTTTTCTTATATTACTATATTTTTAAATATCATATGACATGAATGTTTAAATGAACCCATTTTCAGGGAACACTGAAATGCCTATTTGAAGCCTTTTCATAAAATAACGGAGCACACTTAGCAAAGATCTAACTCAAATCAGAACTCTCTGGCTTGGGCTGTAATAAATACTGTGGGTTTGGTCCTTGTGCTTTTTACTGGAAGTTGTGAGTGGAGCAACTTAATTTCTAGTGGCATTAATGACATTAGAAATGAGCCTCAACAATTTGCCATGTTCTTTTCGTTTGCACTGGGATGCAAAAGAAAGTAATCCCTGTGCTTTCTGTCTGTCTATGTGGCAGCCCAGATTGAATTTGGTAGTACATCAATAGGGGAAAAAATGAGCTTCACTGGGAAGGAAGGATTTTGAGAGATTCAGAGGGCCACACAGGCAAAGTGAAAAATGTCGCAGAGCAAGAGGCCTAAGAGGGTGTCCACATGTGAGACAAATTCCACCCCCCCACTGGTCTCTTCCTTTTGTGGCCCTCACAAATGAATGCTGTCAATTGTAGAAAAGTGTGTGTGAGGGCATGTATGTGTATTTGCAACAGTGCAAAGATGTGCACACACATATGTGAAGCTATTTGTACGTGCAAGGGTGTGTGCACGCACGTGTGAGTACACATGCATGTGAGTGTGCACATGCGTATGTGTGTCAGGGGGAGTGTTCTGAAAGCACCTACCTACGTCAGGGTATGTGAGTTCGGAAGAGTTGTGAGTGTGTGAGGGGAGTGTGAGCGCATGCACACGTGTGAGGCATGTGAGCGTGTATGAGGATGTGTGTTAAGTGTGCACACGTGTATGTGGACTCTCTCCCCAAGCAGACTACGGGCTCCTCAGCAGCACACACTGCTCTTTTCTCTGTCCCCTCTTTATAGGTTAAAGGGAAGTGTAGATGATGAAATTGGTGATAAAAATTGGCAACAACTGGTAAAAATCTGAAAACAAGAATTTGTTAACAGAAGCAAACTGAGGTCACATAGCCTAAACTGAGTGTACCACGAGAGAAAGTGCAGTCTCCTGAGAGCAGATTTCATTTCCCAGAACCCTGGTAATGCCTGGCAAACAGCCCATGTTCACCTAGGGAGTAGCTACTGTGAATCCTGTGCACTCCACGTTTCATGCCCTGTTCCAAGTGCTTCAGCTAATCTCAGGAGTCCTTGGGCGCACAGGGAACATGAGGCTCACTAGCAGGAAAAGGTTGACAATATGGACAATACCAGCCAACTAGTTCTTCCCCTCCACCGCCATGAGGCTGAGGGTGACTCTGGGACATGCTGCAGAGTTCCCAAGAGGTACAGGATCACGCACGCTTCTCCTTTAAGCCTCCCTGGCCCTCTAGCTTGTTTCTGAGGCCCAGTAGGATAAGAGGTCCTCCAACTCCCCCCGTCTGCCCTTTCAGGTCTTCTTCACATGTTGATGGAAAAGGCCAAACAACCATCTCCTTTAGCGGGTGCCTCTGTGTGCCACTCCCTGGTCACCCATGCCCTTGGCTCCCCTGCAGGTTTGCCAAGCTGCTGCTGCGTCTCCCAGCTCTGCGCTCCATCGGCCTGAAATGCCTGGAGCACCTCTTCTTCTTCAAGCTCATTGGGGACACCCCCATCGACACCTTCCTCATGGAGATGCTGGAGACCCCACTGCAGATCACCTGAGCTCCACCAGTCACAGCCTCCCCACCCAGGATGACCCCTGGGCATGTGTGTGTGTAGCCCCAGCCTGCACACTTCCCCTCACCCTGCCCTCTTCCTCTTCCCAAAATGTGATGCTTATAATAAAGAAACCCTTTCCACACACAAGACTTTTATAGGTGGAGTTTTGTATAGATGTGAAAGGTAACCCTTTGCTAGCTGAGGTCTTTCTGGAAGTCCTTGGGAAAAGTAACCAAGCCTCTGTACATATAATTGGTTTAAATTATTTTTTCACTTGCCATGAAAAGCAAACAAACAAAAAATAAAAGAATAAATGTGATATTGGCACTGCTTGGAGCTTGGGGTGTGTTATTGTGCTGTAGGAAGTTCTGTCCAGTGTAGGAGGGGTACAAGAGTGGAGGTAGGGCGGTGATAGGGCTGGGCTCCTGAGACAGTACACCCCCCAGCTGCAGCCTGAGTCTTTGCTGGGCTCCAGGCACATCCAGTTTCGCCTCAAAGTGTCCCCTGGGCAGACGGAGAAGGGACTGCCTTTCAAAGGCAGTTGGGCTTCTTTTCATTTCTTCCCCTTCTAAGAATAATGAGCAGAAAAGGCCTTGTTCTGATTGGGGGCAATTAAGTACCAGCACAGCCTGTCCTGCCTTGTCCAACAAATCACACAAAGAATCAAAGTTCCTGGTTTCTAGTTTTGGTTTAACACTTTTATTTAGGTTGTATCTTCATCAGTCAAATGGGAATAAAACAGCCTGTGTGCACGCTGTGAGGACCACACATGCTCGGGGGGAACGTAGAGCTGTAGACCTGCATCCTCAGCCAGACTGGAGCAAGCTAGCTCAGGGAAGTGTCATAGTTACAGACGAGGGCTCAGAGCAGCCTAGCTGGCCCTGATTAAAAAGCCATCCAATTGCAGAGGAACACTGGGCCACTGACTTAACCTCTCACATCTTACTCTTCGGCTCTGAAAATTGGAAATAAACACAGTGCTTATTCTTAGGGCTCGTTGAGAGAATTAGAAGAGCTTATCTATGATAGATCACAAGACCATGCCCAGCATGTGAAAAGCTCTCAATTAATTTTAGTACAGTATCTATTGTTATTTTCTACTGGATTTCTTATCCTGAATAGAAGTCCTAGAGTCCATGAAAAAGCCTTTTCCCTAGAGCTAACTTGTTTGCTCCCCACCCTGCCCTGATAATTCCCCACAAAAGAGCCTCAATCCGCCATAGTTACAATTCATCAGAAATTTGGTCCCTTACTTCTTCAGGTGTTGGGTGTGGAAATTAAGTAGGTAGCTTCACAACACACTTTGTCCACTGTTGGGGAAGATTAAAAGATACGCTTGCACAATAAACACTTACTGGCCTTCACCATTCCTTTTCAATCAGTCAGGAAAATTAACTGAATGATATCCGGTTATCATTTTATATTACTTCCTTTCTCAAAATTTTTCAGTGGCTTCCTTTTATCTATTAATCAGTCTCACCAGAAAGCAAGCTTTCCAGCTTCCACCCCCATCTTCCCAGAGTGTTTAGCAACATCTAAAGACATTTTGATTGTCATGATGGGAGGAGTTCTGAGTAGAGGCCTGGGATGATGCTAACCCCATATAATGCATAGGACAGCCCAACGACAAGGAATGAGCTGGCCTCAAATGTTAACAGTGCTGAGACTGAGAAGCTCTGATATAAAAGTATCAGTAATGGGAGAAAATATCCAACTGGGTTTTCATATTGCTTTGGAATTTTGGCTATAGGCCAAGGTGAGGCCAAGAGGTCCCCTGTTATTCCACAGAGCTAACAGATAGGTTCACATAGGACTTGCTAAGGTAGATGAGGTGCTGCTGTGACTTTTACCTTTCTTGAACCTGCATTCATAGAAGGTTAAAATGTAAGAAAAGCACTCCTTAGAATGAGGAATTCTTAGTGGGGAGTCCTACCCTGTGAGGGAACACAGGCTCTTACACTTAAGTCAAATGAGGGAACACAAAAGACCCACTCACTGAGAGCAGGAGACAGTGCCAACCAAAGGGTTAGGCTGGGATCTGGCATCTCTGACTAGATGCTTGCTTGCTCAGTAGCAGAAATCCACAGATCTGCCTTGACCACAGAAGGCAGTGAGGAATACTTGGGAGGGCTTGGAATTACCGTGAATATAGAAACTGATGCTGTTTCTTGATTGGAGACCTCTGAAGTCAGGGCTCCATCTGGAGGGAGCTGGAGAATAGCAGCACACATGTACCCACCCCATTCCATGCTTGGTTTGGCCAGCATGTGGCATTTTCTATGAACCAAGTGAATATACCCTGGAACAGAGTTGCAACTAGAGTATCCTGAAGGTACTAAGCCCAAGAAAATGGCCTCTCACGGCAAGGGGCTCGCCAGCCAGAGTCTGTGGGCTGAACTATTGTGGACAGGAACTGAGGGGTCAAGCCAAGGCTACAACATGTCAAACAGGAGTCCAGCAGAGCATTTACCACCTACACGTGGTCACTTGAGGTGCAAGGTCTTCATGAGGTATCCTGAACAACTCACTATGTGCCATCTGTTGGGTATTTGCTGTATGGAATACATTAGTAGCACCATATTCTTTTTTTTTTTTACTGTTTCTATTTTTTTTCATTTTTCTTTTATTATTCATATGTGCATACAAGGCTTGGTTCATTTCTCCCCCCGCCCCCACCCCCTCCCTTACCACCCACTCCCCCCCTCCCTCTCCCCCCCCAATACCTAGCAGAAACTATTTTGCCCTTATTTCTAATTTTGTTGTAGAGAGAGTATAAGCAATAATAGGAAGGAACAAGGGTTTTTGCTGGTTGAGATAAGGATAGCTATACAGGGCATTGACTCACATTAATTTCCTGTGCGTGGGTGTTACCTTCTAGGTTAATTCTTTTTGATCTAACCTTTTCTCTAGTAGCTGTTCCCCTTTTCCTATTGGCCTCAGTTGCTTTAAGGTATCTGCTTTAGTTTCTCTGTGTTAAGGGCAACAAATGCTAGCTAGTTTTTTAGGTGTCTTACCTATCCTCACCCCTTCCTTGTGTGAGTAGCACCATATTCTTAAAAACAACTCTCTTCCCATACCTCTTTGAAAGCCCAATTACCTAGTGGGCAGAGTGAAAGAAGACCCCCAAAGAGAAAGCAGGGGGAAGAAGGTGAAGGAAAAGTCATAGAATTGATCATTTACTTTGGACTTTTTTTTTTTTTTTGGTGGTACTGGGGTTTGAACTCAGGGCGGCACACTTGCTAGGCAGGTGCTCTACCACTTCAGCCACACCCCCAGCCCTTTTGCTTTAGTTATTTTTGAGACACCGGCTCGCGTTTATGCTTGGGCATAGTGGGAAGTGACCAAAGAAGTGGAGGCATGCTCTTTGCCTTCAGTGAATTTCTAAATGAAAAAAGTTGAAAGCACAAGGATCAAGAACAACAAGAAGCATCGTGTCTAACTTTACAAAGCACGTAAAAATCTGGGATTTTAATCTGGCCTTGGAGAAGTAGGACGGGAACTATGGTTTTTTCTTTTTCTTTTATGCTTTTGACGGACATGTGCTATTTGCTCAGACTTACCAGGCATCTGCCCTAAAGCTGAAGAAACTGACAGTCCAGAGGTTCGATGCTGGTCCCAGGACACACATGGTGGTCAGCATGCTGGGCTCAGTTACTCTCACCACAGCTGCAGAGTAAATGCCACGAACCCCAGGACCTCTGCTGTTCTACTCTGTGCCCAGGGAAGACCTGCTGATTAGGATTGGGTCTATACAAGGAGCAAATGTAAAATAATAAGGGTGTTTTTAAAATAAATGTGGAACTTGGACAAACCAGCAGTTAGCTAACCTCTCCTTCAGGATTTTACCACAAGGATGTTTTCTTTGGCTAGTTCTCCTCCTTTAGACTTTGTCTTCAGAGCTTGTTTTGGAGGCCACCTAAGAAAAATGATCTCACGATTCTATATTAAAAAACGCATTAAATAACTACAGTTCCTCTTACACGACCCAGATTGACACACCATCCCCATCTACCCCGGCTCTACTGGCTCTGCGCTGATATTTTCCTATTCCCAGCTTTCTCTCCTACATTATTTAATAGAGTTGGAACTGAATGGGATTTGACTGTTTCCAAAAATCAAATCTCCTCTCTGTGAGTGATAATTTGCCACCACCTCTGTAATTCAACAACTGGCTCAGGTTCTAGGGCTCCCCACCCCACCCCCGCCCCGCCCCGCCCCGCCCCGCCCCGCCTCAAATGATCTCAAGGCTTCAGGCAATAAACCAATCATGCCTTCATGCCAGCAGAAAGAGTGGGCCTCCCTTATAGGATTTATTTAGGGCGTTTCTGGGAGGGGCCAAATCAGGAGTGGAAGGGAAAGCTCAGAACCTTTGCTTTTCCCTAAGGCCTGCAGGGAAGGCGATCTGGGGAAAGGGCCTCCTGTAGCTTGTGAAGAGAACTGGGACCCAAACTCTCCCAGCCAGGGAAGAGCAGCTTTCACCCTCCTCCCTGGAAAACTCCATGGAAATGTCTCCTGTGACGGTTTTGGAGCACACAGCCATCTCGGACCACAGACCACAGAGGAACTGGCCCGGAGCCCGGACTCCCGGCGAGAGACTGCTCGGGTTGCGCAGCTGCGGGGGTGGGGGGGTTGCAACCCGCTGGTGTCCAGCTGGACGCTTCCGACTGGAAGATTGTCGGGCACGGGCGCCCTCTGCTGATAGCTCTGGGCATCACACGCGCCTTCCTGGGAATGCGTCTTCCAGAGACCTGGGAGATCCTCCAACCCAGGCCTTATTCACTCCTGAAAGGAAAATCACTCCATGGAGGACTTGTTTCAGAGTCTTTTGTGGTAAAATTGAAGATTCTGACCATGAGTACTCACTGAATCAATAATGTCTTATAGAGATGGTTTGAGATTCTATTCCATGATGTCGTTGGGCACTAGTTCTACAGAAAGATCCAGTTTCTTAGAAAGCCCAGAATCTGAAGGATAAAACACCCAGATTAAACATTAATTGAGCACTTGCTATGGGTTTAAGTTCTGTTAGATGATACAATTATAAAGATGGCCTCTAGCCCCAGGTGAACAGAGTTCAGTTTATCGTTCTCAGTCAATGGCAACAGAATATTCAAGGCACCTCTTTATTCTTTCTTCTTCATCTGCTATTTCAAATTTAGGTCTGTTCTGGAGGTATCCACTTCTTATGTTTTTTTCTATCAGGACCCGGAAAATATATACTCTCCATGTTTATTTCTATATGTGATACCTATAGAAATTATACAGTATTATTTTGTGTTTTTAAAATATATGTGGAACACACACACACACACACACACACACACACATATATATATATATGTTTTGCTATCAATCTCATTTGATTCTTTCTTTATTTCATTCAGTACTATACCTTGAGATCCATCAGCGATACTCTATGTAACTCTAACCATTTCTTTTTTTTTTAAAGGTGCACAATATTCCAGTAAACACATAGGTGGCCTACAATTCTTCGTGTTATGTGCAGGTCTCCTTATTTTTCTGTGTGGACTTTCTCTGGCTCATAAACCCAGGAGTAGGGCTTACCTAACTGTAACATATTCATACACTCAGTTTCACCAGCACTTCTACCCTACCCTCCAGCTGTTTGCACATATGTACACCACCAACATGCAGCCCCATTTTCACGAATCCTTCTCAGCATTTGGTGCAGACTACATTGCAAATTTTGTCAGTATGCTGAATATAAGATGATGTCTTTCTCTGATTTGCCTTTCAGTTATTACTGGAAAAGTTGGGCTCCCTTCTGTGTTCTTGTTAGCCATTCAGATTTCCTATTTCTATTTAGTTTCTTATCTTACAAGAATGAAAAACTAGGGAATAGGGGTATAGCTCAATAGTAAAGCAGTTGCCCAGCACATTTGAGGCTCTGGGTTCCATTCTTAGGAAAAGAAAGAAGAAAGAAATAGAAAGAAAGAAAGAAAGAAAGAAAGAAAGAAAGAAAGAAAGAAAGAAAGAAGAAAAGTAAAGGAAAGGAAGGAAGGGAGGGGAGGAGAGGAAGGAAGGAGGAGAAGAAGGAGGGAGGAGAAGGGAGGAGGGGAAGAGAGGAAAGAGGGGCTGGCCTCTTTTTGGTAAGTACCTAATATCATGCAATGCACTGAATATTCCCCCCTAAAAAGTTTTATGTTGAATTCTGAGTCCTTAAGGTGATAATTTAGGAGGAAGGAAATTTGAGAGGTAATTGGGGGTCTTGGGAGTTTCTGTCCTCATGGGTTTAGTGCCCTTATAAAAGAGACGTCAGAGAGCTTCCTCAGTCCCCCAGCCATGTGAGGAACAAGCAAGGAACAGGGTATGGACCCTCATCAGACATCAAACCTGCTACAGCTTTGATCTTGGACTTCTCCAGCACCAGAAC